ATGCTTATGTTTCTGTATTAACGATGACATCCCAAATGTTTTAAAAATGAATAAAAATACATTTCTTCGGAAATGCTCTGATAATGAAATTATCATGTTTTTCTGGGAACAAATTCCGCAACGTTTTTATTGAAAGAGATACTCTGGTTTTTATAAAGCATAAACAAAATCGGTATTTTCTGGCCGTGAAAATGGGGATGTCACACTCTCCCACTTCTAGTTTTTTTTTCCTTGAACAAACCCAATTTAAAGCTAATATAACGAAAGGAAACATCATCCTAAACGTTCATTTCCTTCCTTTTGTATGTTAATTGTGAAGATCATTCTTCCATTGATTTTCAAGGTAACAAGTTACACATTTTTAAGGAAGTTTCTCAATGTAACAAGTTACTAGGTTATATGCTCAAAATTGTTGTTATAACAAGTTATTCAACCTAAACTATGCAAGTGAGTGACTCTTGGGGCCATTAATCCAAGCATATGTAAACTATATTGCACGTCGTAAATTTATGAACCACAAATGCATGCCATCTTTCTTTATGACGGGGGTTAAAGACATGTATTTGCATGTCATTTGTACCCTTTTATGACACGTAATGTGTGTCATTAAAGACATATTTTATAGTAATGTATAACAAACTAAATGTGAATAAATTCAAAGTTGAAGGAGTCATTTGTAAAAGAAATATTCAAAATATATATTTGGTGTTAATGAATATTTTAACAACATATTTGGTTTATACCATTTATCAATATCATATTTTATGTAAAAAATTGTGTTGCATTGATGCAAATTTACACCAAGAAAAGTGCAAATATAGGATTTACAATTCAATTGAAAATTCCTCAAATCAAGTTATTTTTTACACTTTTTCAAAATAAAATAAAAATAAATGTAATTGATAAATGCTCCAAGAAAGAAATTTAAAATATCTAAACATATAAACCTCTAATTTAATAAAGACAAAATTATGTGATGTAGTCTTGTGGTTTGTAACGTCATAATTTTCACAACCAAAATTTTCATTTTTAAATTAAGTAAAATCATTGTTTCCAAGAAAAACCAAGTCATGAAACCATAAGTATTAAAATACAATCATCCTAAAAATCAAAGTATCATAACAATACGAAATCATGAAAGATGTCGATGAGAGTGTACAATCTAGCATTCGTCTTCTCACGATCATATTAAGTACCTAAAACACATTTAAATCCACAAACAACAAGCGTGAAGCTTAGTAAGTTACCCTAAATATCACATACAAAACAACATAGTAAACAACTATGAGCTATCAGCAACCCGAAGACTATCAACAGTCATATGGGCTCTCAGCAGCCATATGGGTTATCAACAACGACTATCAGTAGTCCTGGAGTTATCAACAACTCAAATAACACACATAACAAAAATCAACAAATAAGACTCAGTTAGTCTAGCATGCACCCTACTATGACATAGGTAATAGGATGAGAATACTCACCTTGTATATAGCAGCTCGACACAACACAACAGCACTCAAATAGTGAAGACCGACCCTAAGAATCACCTAACTAACAATATAAAATTTCACTCTCAGTCTACACTCTAAAACCCCCAGGTTGACCAAAAGTTAACATGGTCAAGAAGTCAATGGTCAAAGTTAGCGGTTAAAGCTAGCCCCAACATCGTAGATACCCTTTGGCCACATTGTGGCAGCATTAGGACGAAACAGTCGCAAGAGTGTCCATCGCCACATCATGGTGGTCAATCCGCCACGTCATGGGAACATCTCTAGACAGCTTAATGCATTAAGCTTTTAATCTTTCAAGCTATACACTCAAACTTTCTAAAAGGCTTTATTCACCCCAAAGCATCATAAAAAATCGCTTTATAGACATGCATGTCTTGAGCTCAAGTTATGTCAATATGGATAAAAATGAGATCGAGATCTCATGTATGAACCCAAAACTCAACAACTCTCCAGATATGGGAAACTAGACCACAAAGGAACTTCAAGAACCCATAAAGCTGTCAACTTTATGGAGTCCATACACTCAACCCACCCCAAACATGGAAGAAATTGGATAAAAACCTAGATCTAGCATTCTTGACGCATAAAGGTAGGAGCTTGAGGACTTACAAGAGTCTTAAAACAACACAGGATGTAAAAAAAATATTATTTAACATTATAAGTAACAAATATTATATATAGAATTTTATTATACAAATAATAACCTACATGTGATCCATTTGTAAAAAAAATTGGAGCAGATTTACCCAACAAAATACTGCAAAAAAGAAGAATTTGGATTTCGGGTCTGTGACGCCCTTAACAAGTTTTTTTTTTTTTTTTTTTACATATTTTTAAAAATAAAATAAAGACAAAAATTAAATGATAGAACTATATATCTAAAGAGAATAAACCTTAAATTTATTTAATATAATAAACATATTTTTAATGTAATAAAAGGTTGTTGGTTTATTGATGGGCCTGAGCCAAATTCTTTTGAGTTTTTTTTTTTCCTTTTGCTTGGCTCTTGGGTTCTTCACACAAAGAAATCGATTTTGGTTTTGTAAAAGGACGATTAGGCAGAAGAAAATCACGAATGAACGATAAAATAAAAAATTACAAAGAGGTCGATTCAGTGCAAAACCTTTTACAAATGTGGTTAGGTTTTTATACTTCTGATTCACTCACAGGGTAGTTTGTAAATTGGATTTGTGAACTTCGTTTCTTGGTAAATTTTGAGCAATTTTGTATAGAAGCGATGCCGAACTGCTAGGGTTGACACCAAATCTAGGGATTTTTCAAGAATCATTCTAATATTTGCAATATTTTCTTTAATCATTTAATTGGATACATAAATATTAGTATATATTTGGAGCAGATGATGTTAAATCTTAGTAGCAGATGATGTTAAATATTAATAATTTTTTCAATGTTTAGATGTTTTTCCTATGATTAGCTAGTTTGTTTCATTATTAACATCGATTTAGATCTTTATATGTTTATGTGTAATCTAGTGTTGATAATGAGATTGATAATTACTACTCTGTTTTATGTTCACACAAAATTGAAGTATATGGCTGGAGAACTTAACAACCACTCCAAGTTATTGAAATTTCTTTATAGATTTAAGCATTAGGTTCTGGTAGGACCAATTAAGACAAACTGTAAACCATCAGCATAACATCGACGGTCATTAAATCATGATTTCTGCTCATTGGTAACATGGAATAATAGTGGTTTGTTTATTTAGAATCGTTGATATTTGTATTAAACAACCATCAAAATATTACATCAACACCAACACCAACACCAACACCCACTACTGCTTTGTCTTTTATTGGATTTCACAAGTAGTTAATGCATTACATGTGATTACGAAGTTATATCATTAAAATTGTAACGTAACATTTTGAATAAGCAACTTAGTACATTTGGGTTACCTTTTACCTATTTAACTCAATTCCTGTTTTTTCTAAGTTTCAAAATTTGACTCATTTGGGTCGTAGATGTAAAATATACTAAATTGATTGGTTTCTAAGTAAATGAGTTGAACTCAGAATTTGCTTTACGAAAATGTCGCAGTTTATTTGATAAAAAAAAATAAGTAATCTCTACTCCATTCATCACATTTATAGTGTTAGTCGATCTTTAAATTCTTTATTTTATCAGGGGATAAACCCATCTTGTAAAATCATGTGGTTTGCCTACAGACATAATTTAGTTAATTCGGATTTTTACTCATATCTCTAATGCATCAAGAACCATGCTTCTGAGTTTTAAAACACCTGATTGGGAGGAATCAACATTGCAAACATCAAAGATCCCTAAAGCTATTTGAAAGCAAGGCCCAGGTTATTGATCTGGAATCCTGATTTCCGGATGTTTAGGAGATCAACATGTAATGTTGGGTCAACATTGTAGGAAAAGTGATCAGGAGGTGATTCATTTGAAAAAAAAATTAGTAGAATCTTTTTTATACATCATCATACATATGAATACACATGCAAACAAGTTTGCATTTATTTTATCACGCATTCTAATGGAGGTCCTGCTTATGAATGGTCAGAGAAGGCTTCCTTACTAGATCAGAAAGGGAGTAATAAAATGTAAACATACAATCTTCTACCCAGTGTAGCCACCTTCTACGCCACCGAGGATTGGTGTAAAGAATTGCAACAAATCCAGATAAGAAAATAACACACGTGGAACTAGAACTTCCGTAGAAGCATGCCATATTGATATCATACCATTTCTCATTGTCTTCTTCTCCATCTGATGGATTGGTCACCTGTGAATTAGTAGTTGTGCATTTCTTCACGAGTGGTGGTCCACAAAGAAGTGGATTCCCTTCATAGCTTGCCTCCGAGAAGGTACCAAACTGTGCTTTCATTTCTGGGAGTCTACCCGATAGATTGTTGTGAGAAACATTAAATACTTGTAGAAAAGTCAGTTTAATGAGTTCTGATGGAACTGTGCCGGTCAAACCATTTGAAGAAAGGTCCAAGCTCTCTATATTTGCAAGATTTGAGAAGCTCACAGGAATGGGTCCAGTCAGCTGATTGTGAGAGAGGTTTAAAGCATGAAGCTGGGTTAAGAATCCGAGTTCTTGTGGAATTTCACCTGTTAACTTGTTACAGGAAAAATCCAATCCCGCCATGTAATCAAGTATGTCTCCCTTGTAGCTGAGAAAGAGCCTTTTTGTTGTATATCTACTAAAATAATCAGTAAAAGTCACATAGAACCGATTAGCATCTCTTGTGGCGGTTCTGAAGGG